TCATCCCCAGGGTCTCCAGGGGAGCCCCCTCTGTTGTCTTGTGTTGTCCGCTGCCTAGAATATTGTGTCAGCAGGGTTCTTTGATTGCAAGCAACAGAAACTGACCGTGCCAGGAAAGAAAGGAGGCGAGCCGGGAAGCTCTGGGGATCTTGGTAGGGGGATCTTTAGGAACCCACCACCGGCGCGAATTGCCCCTACCACTTCCTATCCTGTGTCACTCTTCGGAACCTGGGGGTGAAAGGAGCTGGGGGTGGGGGGAAGCAGCCCTCTCTGATCGGCAGCCCCACTAAGACTTTACACGGTGGGAGAAAGGGTGAGTTCCTCGAGAACTGGATTGTGGGAAGACCAAGACATCCCTGTCCTGTCTGCCTGCCTATGGCAGCTGGAACGCATCGCCTTTAAGACTGATTTCTTGGTTCCCCCTTCCAAACTTCCTTTCCCAGTTGCCCAGGTGTCCCCTGTCATTCTCTCCCAGGCACCCCAAACTCAAAACTCTTTCACTTATCAAATCTTAATAACCTTTTCTTTAAAACATTTCTCATGTCCACAGACAGTGTGAACGTCACGGTGACGCGGTCGCCTGTAAGTGGCTTAGCAGGTCATGCCCCAGGATGATGTGGGGTTTCTTCCCAGTGCTGGGTACACCATGGTGATCGGACTAGATAAGCCCCTACATTCATCATAGCTTATTTTTCAGGAAAGGGAGAGAGACAGAGAATAGATGAGCAGGTCCAGAGAAAGAGGTCAGAGGGTGATACCTCACCTTGGAAGATGTGACCAGGAGGGGACTAGCAGGGCAAGGAGACAGTTTTATGCTAAGAAGCACTCCTTACCACACTGATATCCGAGCTGAGGTGGGAGTGAGGGAACGAGCTTTGCAAATGTTAGAGGAACATTCCAGAGGGAACTCAGTGGTGGGAGTGGGCAGGATGGCCAGTGCAAGCTCAGAGGCCTGTCTGAAGTTGGAGCACTTTTCACAAGTTCAAGGAACAGCAAGAAGGCGGGCTGAGTATGGAGAGTGAGCAGCGGGCAGATCCTGCAGGCTTCTAGGTCATCGCAAGGACAGGGGCTTTATTCTGAGTGAGATGGGGAGCCGCGGTCATGTGCTATCCTGGCAAATGTTTATCTACTAGTTTAGTGGGAGCAGATTTTTAGCAGTTGCCAATTTCCATAATGCAAAAAGGTCCACCATGACTGATTTCATTTTACAACCAACATTCTAACAACCACCTCACAAACATCCTGAAAATTTAACAGCTCTTGTGAGCTGGGTTTTGAGCAGAGGGGTGAAAGGGGCTGACATTTTTAAAGATCCCCCTCTGGCCCCTATGATGAGAAGGGTCTGTGGGGCAGGAGGGCATAAGCAGGGCAAGGAGGAGGGGCTTTTGCAGCCATCTGGGTAGGAGATGATGGACTCTTGGAAGGTCCAGTGGCTCTGTGACATCAGAAGCAGCATTCCTACAAGTCTCTTAAATTTTTCTTTCCTCTTACAAAGTGGCTGCCACTGTGCTGGCTCTAAGCCCAACCCAAGGGAAAGGAGATGATGTCAGCTATGTGTCTTTTGTATCTGAAAGATATGAGTTTCCCCAGAGCCCCTAGAAAATTTCTCTTTCTATGTCATTGGCTTAAAGTGTGTAAAGCCACACCTAGCTGTAAAGGAGGCTGAGCCGCTGAGCATAAGTATTTCTAGCTCTTCAGTACAGGTCTGCAAGAGGGAAAGGGATTGGGAAGGGGGTGGTGCCACTCCCCACAAGGGGGAGTGGCCTTAGGAACACCTATCACAAGAAGTTCACCCAGTCTGGAAGTCCAGAAGAGCTTCCCTGAGGAAGTGACACTTGTGCTGACTCTGAGTATAAGGAATTAAACTTGCAAGGGGAGAAGGAAGAATTTCAAGGAAAGAAACAGCAAGTGCAAAGGCCCCGAGGTGGAAGTTTTATAATATCCCAGTCTATTTACCTGTCACTATCTCGTCCCCACTAAATTATCCATTATGACAGATCTTTCTCAAAAATTGTTTTTTCTGATATTAAAATGGATCCCAGCTTCCTACAAGATAAACTCCAAAGTCCCCACTGTGCTGTTAAAGGCTGGTGGTACGCTCAACCTAGTCTGTGAATACCACTCTCTCCGCTTCCTTCTGTAGTTGTTGAACCTTCATGGATGTAACTTCATGCCCCAAAGCAGAGCATAAATCCAAGGAGACAGAACCCTCCCTCACATCTCTTAAAGCCCCAGGGACTCGTGAGCACCTGACTAAAGGGGCAGGGGCAGACGTAAGCAGGCCAGTTAGGAAGCTCTTCAGTCATCCAGGCAAGAGAGGATAAGGCCCTTATTCAGTGGCAGGGAGGGGAGTGGTCTGGGAGCTGTCAAGGAGAGAACCCTGGTACACTGGGTGGCAGATTGGAGGTGTGGGGTGATGAGGGGTGTGTATGGTTAGGATGGCAAAATTGCTGATCATCAAGACGAAGGACAAAGAAGGAGCAGGGTGAGAGGTCGAGGGGACGAGGTGGGGTCCATGTTGGACCCGGTTTGTTGGACTGCCCAGCTAATCCTGGGCAGCAGACAGTCGCAAGTACGCCCACATCTCCAGCCAGGATGGGAGAGACTCAGACTAGGAAGCCACCGAAGTGCTGGACTTGGGATTTCAGCTTCTCTGGGTCAATAATACTAGTTCTTATTTCTTGAGCATTTAGTATGTCTAGGCTCTGTGCCAGAAACCTTTCGGCAAGCCTGAGGATCCCTGTTTCACTGCTCAGGAAGCCCAGACTTAAGGGGATTAGATAACCAGCCCAGGGTCCCCCAGCAGAGTTGAAGCCAAGCGAGACTGCTGGGAAGCTAGTACTCTCAGTCCTGGTGCCTTGTGGGCAACACAAATTATTGATTTCTGATGCCATCGTTGATTTTTTTTTAAAGATTTATATTTATTTATACAAGCACTGGGTACAGTCAGAAGCGCGGGAGGGTGAGAGAATTCACCAGAGCCAGAGCGGAGAGCAGAGCAGGCAGAAGGACCGAAGGACACTGCTGAGGGGAGCAGCGGGCGGCAGAAGAGGTCTGCGCGCCATGTGGGACCCTCCTCTGGTGGCCGGGGAGCAGCCGGGGATCGAACCGGTGCTGCAGAGGCTGCGGGCAGCTTCGCAACCCAGCGCTCTACCGCTGAGCCACCGGGGAGGCCCCATCACTGATTTTTTTTCCAACAGTCTTAAATAAGTTTTTTTATTTTGTAATAGCGATGCATTGACAGAGAAGTTGCAATGATAGTACATACACCATCCTCGTATGCCCTTTGTTCCTCCTTCTCTATGTTAACATCTTACATAACCGTGGTATATTTGCCAAAACTAAGAATTAAACGTTTATATCACTCTATTTGTTTGCATTTTAACAGTTTTCCTACCAATCTAATGATCCAACCCAGGAGACAGACTCACATGTAGCAAAAAGCTTTCTTTCTTTCTTTCTTTCTTTTTTAAAGATTTTTATTTGTTTATGCTTACAAGAGCTGGGGTACAGGCCAGAGATGCGGGGGGTGAGAGGATCCACCAGAGACAGAGTAGGCAAAGTGACTGAAATACACTGCTGAGGGGAGCAGCGGCAAGACAGGAGAGGTCTGCTGCGCCATGTGGGTTTCTTCCTGGCTGGTTGGGGATCAAACTCGTGCTGCAGAGGCTGCGGATTGCTTCATAGTGTGGTGCTTAACCCCTTGTGCCACCAGGGAGGCCCGCAAAAAAGGTTTCTTAACATTGCATTCCTGTGGTGCCTCCCTGGTGGCACAGGGGTTTAAGTCTCAGCACTATCAAGCTATGGCCAGCCACTGTGGTGGGAGTTTGATCCCTGGCCAGGGAGCTGACCCACAGGGTGCAGCAGAGCTCTCCTGTCTCACCCGCTGCTCCCCTTAGCAGTGTATTTCAATCAGTCTGCCTGTTCTGCTCCCTAATCTGTCTCTGGTGAATCCTCTCACCCCCCCCACACCTCTGGCCTACACCCTAGCTCTTGTATGTAGAAATAAATAAAATATATCTTTAAAAAATTGCATTCCTATTTTTTAAATCCATCCTTAGAACTTAGTACCAATGCGTGGTGCTGGTGCCAGTCATGCTGGCTGTCAGCTCTGCAGCTGACTGTCTTGGTGTGCCCTGATTCAGCCTGGGGCTCCCACAGGCTGCACCACCCAGGCGCCCTAGCCAGTGATGTCCCACTGGCTTTGGCCAATAGGAGGCACAAGTGTTAGATCAGAGGGTAGAAAGAAGGAAGAACCTAGAATATACCCCCCTCTGCTTCAGACGGCTTTTCCGGCAGTGGCTGCCGCTCTTCTTAGACAGGAAATGGTGGTAATTCCAGCTTCCCCTGGGTGACCCCAGTCCCCAGCTCACCCCGATTACCACTTCCTCCTGTGATGGCTTCCTGCCTTTGACAATCGCTGGGTGGCTCCACCCTCCCCTGGTTGGCCTCTCAACCCTTCCATCACCCGTATAATGGGTTTTCTTTCTTTCTTTTTTTTTTTTTTTAAAGATTTATTTATTTTTGCATACAAGAACTGGGGTGTAAGCCAAAGGTGGGGGGTGAGAGGATTCACCAGAGGCAGAGTGGGGAGCAGAACAGGAGAATCTACCGAAATACACTGCTGAGGGGAGCAGCGGGCGAGTCAGGAGAGGTCTGCTGCGCCATGCGGGTCACCTCCCTGGTTGGGGATTGAACTTGTGCTGCAGTGGCTGTGGATAGCTTCCTAGTGCTGATGCTTAACCACTTGTGCCACCAGGGAGACCCCCACCCCCATCCTGTTAATGGATTTGCTGTATCTAAACACTTAGAATGTCTGTCCTTGCTGGTTGGCCCATTCCACACTCGATTTTCCTGCCCTTGTCACTAAGTTAAAAACTGCTTTCCAGCGAGCGGTCCCATGTAAACACTGCAGCAAATCTAAGATGTACTACAGCAACTATTGATGCCACAGCCATGCCAGCACGGCCGCACTACCTGCTTACCCCTTCTTTTCTCAGGGACGACGGAGACCAGAGAGTGCACCAAAGTCCCCAGCTGCCAGGGCCGACAGAGGCCACCATGACGGCTCCGAAAGCCAGGCTGGAGGTCCTCGCCGTGGCCCCTCTCTACCAAGGCCCCGACATCAATAGGATCAGACTGACGGCAGAGCCAGCCAAAAAGCCACCCGCCCACCTCAAGCCCCTGCTCTTCTCTGACACCAAACACACCACCGTTGAGGCCAAGAGGATCATGTCTGTGGTGGACGAGACCATCCACAAGGTGGAGCTGGTGACCCTGCTGTCCCACGTGCCCCCCAGGTTCCATGTTCTGGAGGGGCTGCTGAAAGAGGACATCATGAAGGCACTGAGAGAGCACGAGGGGCTCTGCCAGAGCCTCCAGGTCAATCTTGAGCACCTGGAGGAAGAAATGCAGCAAGAGGAAGAGGAGGAGGAGGGGTGGCCCCAGGACCTCGTCCCCTCCCTGGACCCGCAGGGGCTCACTGTCTCCTCCCTCTCGCAGCAGATCAAAGACTCCACTAGGAACATCTTGAGGCTCTTGCTCAATAACCCCCAGGCTGCCAGGCTCTTGAAGACGCAGGTGCTGAGCCGCAGTGCGGAGGCCCAGAAGTTTATTGACAGCCTGATTGAGCTCCGGGGCTTCCTGTTTGAGAAACTGCTCACTAGTCCCACGGAGGCGCGGGAAAAGGCCCAGTTCATACAGGACGTCAGCAGGAGGAACAGGAGGAACCAAGAGATCATCGATGAGCTTGAGCAGGAGCTGGCGGAGAGCATGAAGAGCAGGGACAAAGAGGTATCACCCCACCACACTCGTAAAACGGGAAGGAGCCCCGCAGAGGAGCCGCAGGGTTCTGCCTCAGGGACTTAAGTAGTTGTTTTCTATTGTTCTGAGCACTCATTAGGTGTTGGGTTTTATAAACAAGCCCTTGCTCTTCCAGCTCCATGGAATTTGTGGTGATGAAGGAAGGTATTTAAAAGGCTGATTTGTTCACAATTTTGAGAAGTGCAGTGAAGGGTAGGTGCAGGATGCTGCAAGGGAGCATTACAGAATTGAACTTCATCCAAAAGGGCAAGGGACATTGAAACCAAGATGTGAAGAATAAGAGGGGATGAGCCCAACAGGAGAGGGAGGGCAGGGCCTTCCAGGCAAGGGGTAGTCTGACTTTCCCGCAGTGGGTTGGGTAAGTAAATCCTTAAGCTTTGCGGGTCCTGCGGTCTTAGTTACAGCTCCTGAGCTCAGCTGCGCCATCGTAGTGAATGCAGCCGTAGCCCATCTGTGAATGAGGGGGTCGTATTCCAGTAAAACTTTACCTACAACTTTACCTACAACTTTGGAGCTTGAGCGCTGCTCCAGCTTCATTCACCCAGCTAGCAGGGAGGAGGGGGCTCATCCTGCCCTTTGGAGACACAACCGTCAAGTTTTTATCTACCCCCAGTGGCTAGACCCTGCGCAAGGTGTCCATACCTGAGGCCACCTTCCCAGCGAAACACTCTGCTCTGAGCCTTTCCCAGGAGAGCTGATCCTGGGCACAGGCCCTCATTGTCATCCCCTGCATGGTCCATGAGAGATCCAGGCTCTCTGAAGTTCTTTGCCACCCCCTTTTCCCCACACTGGCTCAGGAGGCCCCTCCTTATAGTGTCAAGGAATTTCTCCTTTTTTTTTTTTTTTTAAGATTTATTTATTTATTCATACAAGCACTGGGTATAGTCAGAAGCACAAGAGGGTGAGAGAATTCACCAGAGCCAGGGGGGAGAGCAGAACAGGCAGATTGATGAGGTACACTGCTGAGGGGAGCAGCAGGCGCGGCAGGAGAGCCATGTGGGACCCCTCGCCCAGCGGCCAGGGATCGAACCGGCACTGCAGAGGCTGCGGGCAGCTTCGCAACCCAGTGCTCAACCACTGCGCCACCAGGGAGGCCCAAGGAATTTCTCCTTTAAGGCATTCACCAGAGTTTGTGGATAAACACCCATGAGATTATTTTATTGGGTCTGAAGGCCCATAAAAAGCACAGACCTTGTCCCCTGGCTGTCCATGGTACCCACAGGGAGCCTGGCACAAAAGGGGGTACCGTGACTACCGTAGAGTGGGGGGTGGCAGGCTGCGGGTGCCCAGGCAGGGGAGGGGACCCCCAGATTAAGGGATGTCACCGAGGGACAAAGAGGGTTTTGCTGGTCCCCTTTGGGTGGCCAAACCAGCACGGAGCTCCCCACTTAGACAGATCTGGAGTCCAGGTGGGCTGACTTCATCGTGTCACTGGACGGCAGTATAAAACTAGCGGTGACACAAGCAGGCATGTGGTGGGGGGTCTGCCAGCGAAGCTGTGACTGCTCTGCAGCCCCACGCGGAGAGCCTGCAGCCTTGCCCCCCGCACTTCTTCCCCCCTTCAAGTATCTTGGCCAACTGGACACGCCTGCCCTGCGAGTGTCACCGCTGTCCCAGCCCTGTCCTGTGGCCTGCGTTCTGCACTCTGCACTCAGCCGGGAGATACAGGGTGGATCAGATAGACCTGGCTTCCCACCCCGCCCCAGCCCAAGACAGATGACTTGACCCTCTCCTCTGTAACCCCCTATCCTAATGGGGGGAAGGGGTGTGCGGTAGGATTCAATGAGATCACAACACTCACACGGTCCCACAACTCCCCTCACCTCCCCCCCATGACTGATGAGCATCATCGTGTAGGTATTTGATTAACAGGCCCTCTCCTCTTCCCGGCCCAGCTGGAGAAGGACAGCTTCGTGATCCGAGAACTGAAAAACCACTTGTATCAAGTGCTCAAGTTCTCAGAGAACAGCCTCCTTCGCGCCAAGCAGGAGGCGGAGAAGCAGCAGAGGGCGGACTTCCGGGCCTCGCAGGCCAGGGTGGCCAAGATCCAGCAGGAGCTCCTGATGCTGCGGTCCCAGTTCAACAACCTGCTCGCAGAGAACTGGGAGGCCGAGCAGGCGCTGAGAAAGGTGCCCTGGGAAGTGGGGAGGAGGGAGCTGGGGAGCCCCTGGGGAGGGGAGGGGAGGGGGCACAAGGAGGTCCAGCTCATCTCAGCTGGGGCCAGGCTGCTCCAGCTCCCTGGGGGAGCCCCCAACGCACCCAAGGAGGGCACAACACACTGGCCCAGGGACTGGGGGCAGAGAGGAGAGAGACCCCTGTCCCAAGGGGCACCACTCTGTGAGCTTGGGCAAGCACCTTAGCTCCTCTGAGCCCCATGGGGCTAATATACAAAGGACAGGAAGCAGCTCATGAACCTCAGGGAAATCACTTAACTCCCTTCCAGTCTCAGTGCTCACATCTCTAAGTGAAAGTGATCAAGATGGTGTTTGTGGATGGTTATGAGAATTAAGTGAGATGATAGTGGGTGCCCAATATTTTTTCAGTTGCCTTTTCCATCATCTCAATCCAAATCCATGCCCAGCATGCACCCAGCTTGTCCCAAATCCCCTTCCTCACATAGGGCACCCTTTCTAACACTTGTGCCAGATTTTGGTGTCATGATGCTTTTGAGCATCTAATGGAACCCATGGGCCTTCCCCCCTAAAAAGGCACAGATGCACATACACATGCCCGTGGGCCATTCTTGGGGACCGCCATCCCCTGAAGCCTTTTAAGTGTCCAAGTGAACCGTATGGATCAGGCAGCAGATTGATTTAATTAAGGTGAAACACACAGAACATACAATTAACCATTGTACAGTGAACAGCTGACTGACACTTGGCAAAGCTATGCACCAGCACCCCAGTCTAGCCCCAAAACATGTTCTCCAGCTCAAAATAAACCCTGTACCCACTGAGCAGTTTCTCCCCAGCCCCTGGGAACTGCTAATCTGCTTTCTGTCCCTGAGGATTTGCCTGTGCTGGAATGCTTCACACAGATGGAATCTAGAATACATGGAATCTAGACTCATGACTGAGTCTCACTCTGCATCATGTATTCAAGGTTCACGCACTTGGCATTTATCATTCCTTTTTGTGGCTGAATAATATTCCACTGTATGTGTGGGAGCTCATCTTTTAGAAACAAAATGAGAGCCCATCTTCCTATTGCATCTCAAGCTCCTCTCCACCCCCCAGAAGAAAACTCCCACACACGCTCACACACACACACACACACACACGTGAGAGCCTCTCACTCTGGTTCCACGAGGCCCATACTGCCCCTTGGCACTCTGCTCCAGCACTCAGACTTGATTTCTGTTCTCTAACACCACAAGCTTATTCCCACCCCAGGGCCTTTGCACCTGCTGCTCTCTCTACCTAGAATCTGAGGATTTGCCTGTGCAGGCTGCCATCTTCAAATACACATTCCACCACCCATATTGGCTCTGCGGCCCTGGGCAAGTGAGTTAGCAAGTTTGAGGCTGTTTCCTCATCTATGAAATGGGGAGAAACTTGCCTTGGGTGATGGACTCAGTAGGTGAGGTAGGTAAAGCATACCCCATGGGGCCTGCTGATGCAGAACGCTCGGCACTGTTAATGTTATTGTTATTCCATTAAACAATGATTAATTGAATTTTTTTTAGAAGAAATATAAAGTAGAGACAGAAATCCAGAACTGGATCCAGAAGTATGACACGGAGATGAGTGAAAAGCAGGTATTTATGGCTGTATACACAAGTCTCACTCAAGCATGTTTCCCAGGATACTCTAGGAAGGACACGTGGGGTTCTGAACCTCCCCAGAGACCTTGGAACATGCCACCCCTCACCCCAACCCCCTCCCCCCACAGGGCCCTGCCCCTTCCCACACTCAGGGGTTTGTCTAGCCTGGGGCTGGAAGAGAGAGGTGGGAAGGAAGGTGCCAGAAGCCGAGAGCCACAGGAAGTGCCTGACACTGGCCTCGTGATCTTGGCTCCATCTAGTGTCCATCTAGTGTCTCCATCCATGCTTCCCGGTGCCCTCCCTGCTCAGCCTACAGCCACCCCCAGTCCAGGGCTCACCCCAAGAGCAAGCCTCCACCACTCCCTCACCTGGAAAGTTTCTATGGGGTGCCGGGTGCTGGGGCCCATGTCTCCAAATGATGTCATTAGGAAGTTCTACTCCAGTGTCATTCCCAGCTGTGTGGCCTTAACTGCAGTCCTTGCCCTTCCTGAGCCTGTTTCTTCCTCTAATCAATGGAGACAATGATTCTGTGCTGGGTCCGTGGTGGGGATTGAGGCCCCTTGTGCCTGCACCCAGGATCTGGGGCTCAGGGAACCGTACAGTCTCCACCCAGCTCGGTAATGACACTGGGCCAGGGAAGCCTGGCGAGCCCTGGAGGTGACACCAGCCTCCCTGTAGTCCAAAATCAGGGTGCTGTTCAGAGAAGGGCTTGGAGGCTGTGCTGCTCCTCTGGTCCCTATGAGAGTGGTGGCTTCTGCAGCAGTGGAGACTGGCCTCTTCACTTCTGTGCCCTCTAAAAGTGCTTCACTTCCAGTAGATTCAGGAAGAAGGGATGGAGAGAGGTGTGTGTGTGATGACACAGGAGAGGCTGTGGTTAGACACAGGGAACTGTGGGACTCAGTGACCTGAGATGTTGCTGCAGGACAGCCACAACTCAGCAGCTTGCATTTCTGTGCCCCTGTATGCCTGCACCACACCCACACATGGTGCCCTTCCTGTCATTCAACCCTAGAAACAGTGCCCACCCTGCCCCTAGCCCCAAACTTGGAATCGTCCCCATTCCAGATGACAAATAAGGCTTGAAAGGTGAAGCCCCTCGAGGTGTGGCTGAGCCAGGATTTGAAACTCAGTCTGCCCCCCACACCAGCCTGTGTTCTGTCCCCCATTTCTGACAGGGTTTCGGTCGGGTCCCACCGTGAGCCTCACTGCTGCTGCGGCCGTCACCCCGGCCGGCTGCACAAAGGCTTAGTGCAGGTGCCACTGCTGGGGTGGGCTCACCGGTGGGCCAAGGGGCGCCTGCAGAGGAAGGCGGCGGGAGGTGCTCTCTGCTGGTGGCCCCACCCTGCGCTCCCCCCAGGAGGAGTACGAGGAGCTGGACACCATCCACAAGGAGGAGAAGGTCCAGCTGCAGGAGCTGAAGCAGAGGCACGGCGTGTTGGTGGAAGAGTTCGCGCAGATCCAGGCGGAGCGGGACGTGAACTCCAAAAAGAGGCTGGAGGCCGAGCAGGAGATGGTGCGCATGGTGCGGGCAGCCACCCTCATCCAGGCCGTGTGGAAGGGCTACCTGGTCCGCTCCATGCTCAGGTCCAAGAGGAAGAAGCGGGGCAAGGGCAAGGGCAAGGGCAAGGGCAAGGGCAAGAAATGAGCCCCCGACACAGCAGCCCACTCGCCTCACCTCACCCCCCCAGAGCAGGCCAGGGAGCCGCACGCACGGCAGGGGCGGGGGGTGGGGGGTCCTGCCCTCCAGCTTCTATAGTTTTTCAAAAATTAGAAAGCATTTTAAACCACATCCTGTAAATAAACCTCACTTCACCCAGGGCTGTTGGCCGTGTTGTGTCCACGCTTGCAGATGTTTCCCTGGGGGGAGCATGCAGAGCGCGGTGTGGCGTGCAGCCATTCCTTCCTTGAGTCGGTGGGAATCCAGACCCCGGGCTGCAGCCCCCCCAGTCCCAGACTGGAAGCCACATGGTTGCAGTGGCTACGCTGCACGCCGGGGCCCAGGGGTGCGTGTTACAGCTGCACACGGGGTCCAGGAGCAGGCAGAGAAGTCCGGGAGGAACTGGGTCTCAGGCTGCCCTCAGCCGGGCTCATTTGGCGCCCAGGTAGTTGAACAAACTATCTTTTAAAATTCATTGCTGGCATGTGAAAAATCAGGGCTTTCTGCCTTTTCTGGAAAAATCTTACCACCTTACTTGGCCTGCATGTTGCTTTTCTTTTAGTATAGTCCAGAGAAAAGAAGTGTATCTGGGCCTTGAATATTAAACATAAGGGTGAGGTTTAGATAAAGGCAGATATTTGCTGGGTGTTTCTAGTAAAATCAAGGAGGGAGGAAACTAATTTTTCGTTGAAGTTCTAGGAAGTTTAAACATCTACATGTTGAAAATGCAAAGCGCGTTTGTGGCCGGAGTATAAACCCTCGCTCCCCGCCCCGCCCTTCTGGCCCAGCACGGGGGGTTCACATGCGCCCCTGTTCCGGCCCCCTGTGGTCTCTCCCTGACAGCTCTTGAGCGTCCTGCTCTCCCCTTCTCCAACTCAATGATGTGGCTTCCAGCTGGGCTCTCCAGAACCCCGGTTCTTCTTGGAGGTGCAGAAGGGAAGCAGAGACAAGGAGAGACCCTGGCCATGCCCTCACCCAGCCCCGCAGGATGGGGTGTTAGGATTCTGGGTACCACTGCTCTCATCAAAGGCTGTGCTGGTTTCCATAAGGGACTCACCCCAGGGCTGGGCAGCGGATGAGGCCCTGAGGAAATAAGGCAGCCCCAGCGCTTCCCAAATGCAGGTGTGATTTCCAGCCTCTCAACCCTTCTATGTGCCAAGCCCAAGTTTTGTGGAAACGGGGGAATGTGTACATGTGATTTCAAAGCAGGAGACACAATGGCCCGCCTTGGCGCTCAGGAAGAGCTAGCCGACCCACGTCAGTGGTTTCAGCCGGAGCAGCCAGCACCGCTGCATTCCCGATCTCCAGCTGCCACTGCCGATGCCCACCCCGTCCTCGCGCTGCCTGCCGTACCACCCAGCCTTGTTCTCCAGACCCAACCTGGTCTGTCCTCTCTTTCCTTACCCTTTGGGAAAAAGAAATCGGCAGAAATCATGGCTTTGATGAGCTAGTGATATATTTCATACATAAAAATAAATGCATGGCTATTAAGATAAAACAATGTCCACCCACCTATGACCCAGACCCCTGTGGTCCACATTCTATGCCTGGGAAAAGTCCAGACTCAGCTGGAAACGTCCTGAGCAGGAAGTTTGGCGTGAAGGGAGGGAGGAAGCCTCCAGGCTGGCGATCAGACAGTTTATTCACACTTGGCACAAGGAGATGTGATGGCGGTGGGCCCCCGGGTTGGCACTGATGCGTCCGCTGGCTAAGACGGGAATGGAAATGGGCATCTCCAGGGGCGGCCCTCAAGCCCACATGGGGTGAGGGGAAGCAGGGAGCATCTAGAGATGGTCAGATCCTACCCTGTTTCTTCAGTGCCTCCGCAGAGGCGCCCCTGACTGTGATCCCAGCATGGGGGAGAGGACTGAAGAAAGGGCTATGAGGCTCATTTCCAAGGGGGCCTTGGTTTCTGGGTGGCCCCACCTCGACGGGGTGTAGCTGGCACTGAAACACTGATTGGGCGAAGCCTGGGGGTCACCAGGGGGTTCCGGAAGGTCACCCCCGATGGGGACGGCCTGGGATCCGGAGGCCTACTTTCTGGGGCACTGGTGGGTGCGTGACCAGGGCTGGGGACATTCAGGTGGGTGAGGGAATGGGAACGCCCTCTCCTCAGAGGACGCGGAGAGCTTAACTCACCCACTGACAACCTCCGGGAGTCTGCTGCCACTCCGGGCCCAGTCTTCGAGGGACCAGTGGGGTGAATGGCTCTCACTGGGGTCTCCCTGGAGCGGGGCGAGTGGCTGCCCCGAGGAGTAGCTGGGGGTGTCCAGAAGAGGGTGTGGAGTTTTGCAGCATCTGCTTTTGCCATCCACGGGGCCTCCCAGCTGGTGCCCTTGGGGCGGGAGCCAAACAGAGACTCATCACAGTAAGATGGCGTGTGGCTGATCAGTCTGCAGAAGACAGAAACAGTGAGCTGGGGAGTGAACAGAGTGTCCAGACTCTACTGCCCAGCGTGGGGCCCAGTCCTGGCCAATTTGCACATTCCATCCTTCAGGCCACTCTGATTGGCTTAGGAGTGACCACTGAACCTGTTCCGTCCAGTGAGAATCTGCCTTAGGACCTCTGTTGAAATAACAGGAGGGAAATGTTTTGCCACTTGGCCTTGGAAAGCTGGCAGGATACAAGGGCAAAGCAGGTGGCAGCCACCTCACCTGGAATGGGGGTGGGAGGTACGGGGGCATGGGGAGGAAAGAGGAAGCAGTGGTAACAAGACAGAATCCCAACCAATTTGAACCCCTCTTCTAGGGATCTAGAATACAAATGGAATCTGGTCTTTTGTGACTTCTCACGCAGAGTCGTGTTTTCAAGGTTCATTCACGCAGCATGTAGCTTTCTTTTTTGTGGCTGAATCATATTCCATTGTATGTATGGGAGCTGATCTTTTAGAAACAAAATGAGAGCCCATTGCCTCTCAATCTGCCTCATGACTTCCCCTCTCCCCCTTTGGAAGCCAAGGCCTCCCCTGGCTGACACTCTGGCTTCACAGGCCCCATGCAGCTCGTTGGCCATTCTGTTCCAGCACACAGACTTGATTTCTGTTCTTTCAACACCACAAGAGCTTTTGCACTTGCTGCTCCCTCTGCCTAGAATCTTCTGGAATCAGGCTTCCAGCTTTAAAGCCACTCTACCCCGAATGTCCTTTTGCTGCTGAGGCCGGCGTGACTAAGTTTTTTGGCACTTGCAACCAAGAGCTCAGATTAATACAACCTCAGTGTTTGACCCACTTTTCTGAGTGACCAGGTCAGCCAAGCCCTCTGCAGGCCTGTGGGCTGAAGTTGAACAACTCAGTGGCAAGTAGAGGGTGCGCCTGTGTGGCACTGGAAGTTTTTGACCAATAACATCTCTACCTCTTCTGCACCCCTTCATTCAACAAGTTCTACTTGTTGGCATCTAGAACAAAATCCATCCTCTAGATGAGCAGCGGCTTGATAGTCACCTCCCTTGTCATGGACACCGTGCTTCTGTTAATGCAACCTCTGTATTTTCAGGCACGTTGCAGGTGTCAGTACTGCTAATGTCAACCTGACCCTGATGCATGGAAACAGTCAGGCGCATTGCCCACAACCTGACATTGTAATGGAGTCTTTGCTTTTATCGAAATTTATCTCCTTTACAGGCACCATTCCTGCCCTCAGGTTTCCTCATCCAACGTTTGTCCTCAGAATGGATTCTAAATTTAACCATCCAGTTGTTATGGCAGTATGCCCACCCCACCCTCCTCATTCATGCTGAATTTTAAAGAGATAATTAAGATTAAATGAGGTTGTAAGGGTGGGACTCTAATCCAAATAGGAATGGTGTCCGATTCAAAGAAGCAGGAGAGAAAACAGAGGAAAGACAACGTGAGGACAGTGAGGAGGAAGCTATCCGCTGGCACCCTGGCCTTGGACTTCCAAGCTCCCAACAGTGAGAAAATAAACTTCTATTGGCTAAGCCCCCAGCGTCTGGTATTTTGTTACAGCAGCCCTCACTGAGTAACACACCCACCTTCTGTGTCTTTGTTCAAACCACTGACAATAATAAATAGGTGACTTCCCCAGGCCCACGACTAGACATCTCCCTCCAAGATGAAACAATCCAAATAGACTTGATTAATGAACAAGCTAATTCATGAAAACATAGCAAAACCCATTTTCAAAATGATTTGCTAGCATTTGGAATAATCCCATCTATCAACCACATTAATAATCTCACACAAACTGCTCTGTGATCTTGAGCAGATTATCTGACTTGTCTGGGCCTCAGATGCCCCGCCTTGGGGATGGGCATTCCACCATCAGTCCATGACTACTGTTTATTGAGAGCTTCCTACGAATCAGGTTACTGTGCCAAGAACTGTACTTCCCTCATCTCATTTAATCCTCCCAACAACTCTACTAAATAGGGATCATTGGTCCCATTTTCCACGAGGCAACCATGGCTCAGAGAGGTCAAGGTGCTTGGTCAAGGTCACACAGCATGTAAACAGCAGGCCTGTCACAGGGACCCAGGTGGCCACACTGAGTACAGGCGTGCATCTCCCTACCCCTTACCTGTATTTGTTCTTCTTCCTTGGTGTGAGGGTCGGGGTGCTGCCCCTGGAGGAGGTGGTCTCACAGCTCCCGTTGGCCCCTGAGGCCCGTGACGTCTCTGTGCCCACGCCTTTGGTTCTGTTGACTTTCTCTACCCACGGTGGGTCAAAGTCTGGAGGGGCCAGCCGGGCGCCCGCAGGACTGCCAAACAGAGTCTCGTCCACGTAGGATGCCTTGGCCTTCACCCGGTAGCGGTGCTGCGGGTGGAGAGTCTGCATCCCACTGACGGCCAGCTCCGTGGGGGTCTTCATGCTGCCCATGGTCCAGGGGGACAGTGGGTGTCCTGTGCTGGCCAGGCCCCACCACCAGGGATCCCTGTGAAAGAGGGTCAGGGTGGCACCCCTCTGTCAATGGCAGTGCCAGGGAGGCCAGAAGTCCCCATGCCAAGGGCAAAAGGGTCAAGCTGTACCTCAATGAGTCCTCAAAGGGGCATTTTGCCCCATTTGTTACCAGCCAGAAAACAAACTACCATGCTCACTTAGGAGCAAGAATAACAGGCGGTGCGGGCCCTCGCCTACCTGGAGCCAGGCGCTTCACAGGCATCGTCCCCTGTGAGCCTCAACAGTCCCGCGAGGAAGCTTCGATCGTGTCCATTCCACAGACGACCAGACTGTGGCTCCAACAGCTGAGTCACACGTGTGGGTCACACCTACAGACCGGAGCCCAGAGCTGTGCACTTGGCCATCTTCTTCGATGGGGGCTCACGCGCACCCCCTCCCCCAAGCGCCCCACGTTCCCAGATCCCCGAGTCAAAGCCCGGTGGATGCAGGAGACCCCGCAGTCTGGTTCATTTCCTACCTGAGCATTCCGGCTGGGCACCTGGGCTCACCTCCCAGCGCCCTCCGCTCACTAGGTCCGCTCTGGCCCGCGAGGGCGCGCGCAGCACCCGCGACCCCCGTTCAGCCGCGCCCCGCACTCCGCAGCCAGGCCGGGGCCGGGGCGCCGGGGCCGGGCGAGGGCGCGCGCGGAGCGGGAGCGCTGGCCGGGGCGCCGGCCCTTGGCGACGTGCGCTCGGCGCGCGCATCAAACAGCAACCGGCCAGGCGGGCGGGGCGCGGCCGGAACCATTCCCGCCCGGGGGGGACGCCCCGTTCCGGACGCCCCCAAGTTTCCCAAAGCCTCGGAGACGGGCGCCCCGCGCCCCGGAGGGGGTGTGCGCGCGTTCCAAGCCTCCGCGCGCGGCAGGAGGGGGGGGCGCCCCGGCGCAGAGGGGGCGCCCCCGGCCGCGCAGTGGGTGCGTCCCCGCAGGCGCCGCCCCTTCCCGCTGCCCTGCGCCCGGGCCCGCATGGCGGCCGGCACGCGCCCGGCGGCCGGCCCTCGGTCTCGCGCGGCCATGGCCCAGTGGAGGAAGAAGAAGGGGCTCCGGAGGCGCCGGGGCGCGGCCGCCCAGGCGCGCAGCAGCGACTCGGAGGACGGCGAGTTCGAGGTCCAGGCGGAGGACGACGTGCGGGCCCAGAAGGTGCGCGCGGGGCGGTGCGCGCGGGGGGCCCGGCCCTCGCCCCGCGCCTCGGGCTCCCCGCGCGGGGGTGGGGCCCGCCGGGGCGCCGCGGCCCGGGACGGGCTGGGCGCGGCGGGGGCGCGGGCCGCGGGCGAGGTCGGGGGCCCGGGGCTGGGGCCGGGGCCTGGGGCCTCCCGGCCGGCGGCGCAGCCTGCGCCCCTCATTGGCCACCGTCCGCCCAGGGGGCGGGCCCCCGTCCCATCCGGCCAATGGAAAGTGTGGGCGCCGACGGTGTGACTTGGAGAGTTTGGGGAATTCTTGGGAACTTGAGTGAGGGGGGCCGAGCCACGTGGTTGCAGACGGTGACGCCCCCAAACCCCCGGGAAGCTAATCCTAGACGGAGCCTGCTCCCTGCGGGCCCGGTCGTGCGCAGAGCTTTACGCGCCTGCCTTAATCCGCACCCCAACCCTGTGGCCTAAGTACGATCACCCCGTTTTTCCAAGGGAGAAGCTGAGGCCGAGGGGGCTGGAGGAGCTCGATCACAGTCTCGGTGTGTGGGAGGGAGAGCCAGCTGCCATCCCGGCCCCGGGGTCTGCTCCGCGTGCACCACGGAGTGCCAGCTGTGTACAGATGGGGAGAGGGGGGCGGGCCTGTGAGCAGCGGGGGACAGCTGTAACCCATGACCCCCACCCCATCTCTGTGCTCTGCCCTGGCCTGACACCGAGCAGGCTCAGGGTAGGTAGATGCAAGAGTGGGCGCTTACAGGGGAAAGGGCTGCACCTTCCCTTCAGAGCCAGAACTCCGCAGCGTCTCCACCCCAGCGGAGTCAGCGCCCAGCACCCAGCGGTGTCCATAAATGTGGAAGAAGGTGGTGAACAGCAGAGGGTGCAGAAGACCAGCCGCATACGCCTTTCAGATTAAGGGCTTTGCAGAAGGAAACTCTGTGCAGATCCGCCCAGACCCTGTACTGGCTGCCGGGCAAAGGAGAAGCTGCTTAATGTCTCTGTGCCTCAGTTTCCACATGTAGAGAAGGCAGGTTTGCCTCCAAGACAGCAGAGAGGGTTCATCCATGTGTCCACATGGCCTACTCATTCAGCAAACATTGTTGGGCCCCCGGTGCGTCCCGAGCAGGGGTTGGCAAGCTTTTCCTGGAAAGGACCACATGGTAAAGACTTTAGGCTCTGCAGGGCTATCTAGTGTTATTGTCTTTTTTGTTTGGTTATTTTACAATTTTTTAAATGTGAAAACCCTTCTTAGCTCACGACTCCACGGGGTAGGCTGCAGCTTTGACCTTGGGGTGATGGGCCCCGCACAGAGGGTCACAGTGGCAAGTGCATGGACCCTGAAGCAGGGCTCATGTCCAGCCCCCGGAGCTGGCTGTGTGGCCTGGACAGGGCTCCTCGCCTCTCTGCGCCTTAGTTTCCTTCTCAACTGTGAAAGGGACAGAGTAACAGCGCCCGCGCACAGGGTTGTTTTGAGGATTAAGTGGGTTCATTTCTCAGAAGCTCAGGGGCACCCGGCTTGTAGTAAGTGCCTGGGAAGGTTTAGCTGTCATTCTGAAGCCCTGTGGGCGAGAAGCTTCCCCAGGAAGGGGCGTCAGGGTTGGGGCCCTGGAAGGCAGCTCTGAGCCAGGCCGGAGAGCCCTGAGTCAGGGAGGGGTGAGGGATCAGGGAGGGGCTTGGGTTGGGGGCAGGGCAGCTGGAAAAGCCTATTTCCTCGCACGGGTGGGTGTTCTCATTGGCTCCCTAAAGTCTTTAAGTTTCCAGGGCCTTGACAGGTGGGGTGGCGATGCGATGGCCGGCGGTGGGCAGTGCTGGCCACCCCTTCCCATTTCGTCTTCACAGCATTATGGGAGGTTTAGGCTCTTGTCATCCCCAATTCCCAGATGTGCAGACAGAGGCTTGGGGAGATCGCACCCCTCACCCTAGCTGCGATTGAGACCCGGTCGGCAGCCGCCATGGTGCCCACTCTGAACCTGGCCCAGCCAGGGGGTGCCTTTGCAGCTGCCATATGATCTGGCAGGAGAGGCTGCAGCTTGAATTGGGGAGATTGATGGGCAACATGCCCCCATCAGCGCCCTCAGTCCCCCGTGTTCTGGTGGGGCCTCGAGTGACCCTGCCACTCTGTTCTCCCCCCAGCCGGGTCCTGGCAGACCCTTGCCCGCCTTCCCCGCCTCAGAATGCATGTCGGACGTGGAGCCGGACACGCGGGAGATGGTGAGGGCCCAGAACAAGAAGAAGAAGAAGTCGGGCGGCTTCCAGTCCATGGGTGAGTGAGCAGACATGGGGGCATTGGGGTGCAGCAGGGGCATCTAGAGTGTTCGAGTCAGAATCGCTGTTGGCAGAGTTGCCTCTAAGTCTCAGGAGCTCTCCACTTTGCTCTATCAAGTTCCTTTTTTTCTTGCTGTTTGCTTGTTGACACTTCACATTCAGCCTGGGTGGTTTTCTAGGGGGGTACAGAGGACTCCCCACCTCCCTGGCCATTCCCCTGTCTCTCCTAGGCTTGAGCTATCCAGTATTCAAAGGCATCATGAAGAAGGGCTACAAGGTGCCCACGCCCATCCAGAGGAAGGTACGGCGGGGGGCTCCTGGGTGGGGTGGGGCAAGCAGCAGCACCCCGTGTCCCGCTGGCACATCTGTGACCCCCCCACCCTGCTCTGGCGAAGTCCCACAAACTTGCCCATTTCATAGGTGGAAAAAGTTGGCCCCAGCAGAGCAGACCTTGACTCTGGGCCTCTGCCATTGAGTCTCCTGGAGGCTGCCCACTGCTGAGCCCCAGCAAGTACCCTGCAGGCACCCCAGTATCACCCAGGATTGTTATCATCAAGTCTTTAGCTGAGAGAGACCAGGTTTTTCTGGGGGCCTGAGGCGGAGGACTAGACAGGGTCAGCCTCTGCCTGAAGGACGTTCCGTCCCGGCACAGAGCAGGGGGTGGTGCATCCCGGAGGCTGTACGGGCAGCTTTAGCAAGAGGGTGCTCAGTTCCCTGCAGTGGGACTCCCTAGTTGGCCCATTCCTCAAGGCCTCGAAGCTCTGGATCACAGGCCTCAAGTACTTGGGTGCAGGACTCACCCTCTTCCTCCCCCACTCAACCCTCTCCAGACCATCCCGGTGATCCTGGACGGCAAGGACGTGGTGGCCATGGCCCGCACGGGCAGCGGCAAGACGGCCTGCTTCCTCATCCCCATGTTTGAGCGGCTCAAGACCCGCAGCGCCCAGACCGGGGCCCGCGCTCTTGTCCTTTCTCCCACCCGGGAGCTGGCCCTGCAGACCATGAAGTTCACCAAGGAGGTGGGTCAGGCCGGGCGGGGGAGGGCAGGGCTGAGTTGGGACCTGCTGGGGGGCATGAGTGGCCGAGTCATCTCCCTCATCCTCTCTCTCTCTCCCCCTACAGCTGGGCAAGTTCACCGGCCTCAAGACTGCCCTGATCCTGGGCGGGGACAAGTAAGAGCCCCCGCACCCCTGATGCAGGCATACCCTGTGCCTCGGGCCAGGGAGACCGGGCCTGCGGGCTTACTAGCACCAGCAGCTTCTTGGCACATCCAGATACTGACCGGGGAAACGTGCAGTACAATTCCCAAAGAGCTTGCCACGTGCGCTTGGACAAAGACTCCGGCGCTCCTGGGAGAAGTCTGGGGTGGTGCCAGGGCACCCGAGTGGGCCGCGTAGTTGTGAGGTTCGGTAGCCCGAGTGTGGTGGTCTCAGAGTCCACGGCACAAAACTCGAGGGTGGTTTGTGACTGCTCAGATCTGCAAAGCGTGTCGTTGGCTGATGTGCGGTGCCTTCCCGTCTCACGGATGAAAAGACTCAGGCCATGGCTGGCCCAGACCCGAGATCAGGACCCCGGCTCCTGCGCCTTTACTGCCCCTCCCCCAGTTTCTTGTTCTCTCAGAATGTCACTGTCACTGGTCACCCTTGATTTTTCTTTTTCAGTGCTCTTTTGCCCATTTTACTAATTCTGTAGCTTGTGATTGTTAGAAGTGCTATCCTGGGCTCAGCCTGGCCCAGACTTTTGGCTCCTCCAGGTGTCCCGGGCGTGTTTCCGAGGAGGACTAAAGTTAGGGGGTGCAAGCTCAGATTCCAGGGGAAGCCCGGACTCCTGGTGGAGCAGGCAGCAGTTCCAGGGTGGGCGGCTGCTGGGTGGCGCTGTGGGCCAAAGGCAGCCTTGTTGCTCATGGGGGAATTCTTCGTTGTAGCAAATTTTTTAT